TTCGTTGTTGTTTTTCTTAAATATATCAAGAAACCATGTACAGTATACTTATAGAAAACAATTGCTACGGATGGAATATTAAACTATAACATTTTAAAAATAAATTTACTGAATGTGATTATAAGATTAAAATTAAATAAAAAATACTGTATAAACAAGGAATATATTATTCCTTAGGATTAATAACTAGTAAATAATGGACGAATGTTGTAAATTAGCGCATTAAAAATTAAAAATGCAGTTTGATCTAACGAAACAAAATTCGTAGAACAAAATTAGTGAATGTGATCACACTAAGCATGTAAAGTTGAAAAATGTATGGTAATAAAAAAAATCACCTCATAAACTAGCAGAATACAAGTTTTCATAAAAACCTCTAGCTTTGTAATAAATAAAGTTACTTGAAAAAATAACATATAGAAAACTTTTAATAAAAATTTAAACCTTAGTCTCCCTGATCTTTATAAGTAAGGGAAGGTGGGACAGGATGAGGACGTTGAGGTTTGAAAAGTCATAAGATGGCAACCACTTTAATGAGAACAATAATTTTTTTTATTCTCAGCAACTACAACATTTGGTAATATATAATACAAAATTTAATTTTTAAAAAATGTTTTTAAAAACAAGAAAATTTAATATTTTAAAAGTATATGTAAATGCACCATCTTGCTCCACCCGTGGGGTAAGATGGGATTATTATTTTTATATACAAGGAGGACAAATTAAAATGGTTAAAATGTCGTTTTCTTTAATATTGGCACAAGAACAATGTGCCTATTTATCACAGCGGCTACATTTATTATTATTTTCCTAATAAATAAATATAAAAGTTTGAACTTACTCGTATTTANAATTTTAAATTAAATTAAAGCATGAATTCTACGTTAAAATTATATTCGACGACTAGTCACTATTCATTAATTTATTCATGATTGCTTTTAGGTTACGAAATATTGGATTAAATTGGACTGGATTTATAGTAAAATTTGAAAAGCTTCCACTCGATTGAAGTGTGTAATCGTTACCTAATTAGAATACAATAGCTTTATTGCCTATAAAACTAAAAGAGAAAACAGCAATCGATTCAGTGAAGTTAATTTAATCAGGTTTTGTATGGTTAACGGGATCGTCGAGAGCTTGTATGGGGCTCTGAGTTAGAGCAGGCTCTTTTAACTATTTTGTTTGTTTATTTGTTGAACATATAAAATGGGTAGAATGTTTCTTTATTAATAATAAGCGGCCTTAAAGATTTTATTTTATGATAGGAAAAATAACGTTAATTTTATAAGACTAGGAATCACTACACGGCCCTATATTTTCTCTGACTTCTGAGAAAAATCTCCAACAGTTTTCCTCTCTCTTGACGGTTAATATAATCTCATTAGCACATGATATATGTTATTAATTCGTTAATAAATTTTATAACAAAATACAAAAATCTACAGTCAGAAAAACAAATTATAACTTAGATTTTGCTGTAGAATTAATTTTTTTTTATTTCCACTTTTTCTCTTTTGAGAAACGCCATTGTTTTAATTTCTTAGTATAATTAACAGAAATATAAATAAAATAATCTGTTTTCTTATAAATTAACCACTTCCAATATGAAAATTATACTATTTGATATAAAATATGTGGATTATGACATATTATGAATTGATTCCATAATTATGAGTTTTAAATGTAATACTGATAGGCTAGTTATAACTTCATTTTATATACTGTATTTTATTTATGAATACAGTAGAGCGTCGATTTTCCGAATCAATTGGGGACTGGGGTTGTTCGTATAACTGATATTTAGGATAACCGATTTATGTACGAAAAAATAGTTTAACGTATCCGATGTTGAAATTTTTTTCCGTTGCGTGTCGCTTCGCGTTGAATTTTCCTCGATGTTAAGCCAACAAAGACTATTGTATCGTTAAAAATTATTTTTTTATTTTGTACAAACAAAATAAATATATTGAAAAATATAAAAACAATAAAAAATTATACTTCAGAAGTTAATTTAGTATCAAAAACGTAAAATATTTGAGTAGTCCAAGACGTAGCCAAAGATTGAAGCGCCACAGCACTGGCGAAAATTTAAATTTGCCGACTGGAATTTTTTCGGATGATTGACGTTTCGGATGATTGACTTTCGGAAAACCGACGCTCTACTGTATATTATTTTAGACTTTTATGATTTTTTTCTGCAATCTTAAACTTGACTCATTTACTATATGTTATGTCACTGTCCATTACTGAAATAAAGATTGGAAACCCCAACTTAATTTAAAAAGCTTTTGGAAATTTAGAATTTTTAGAAAAGTATTATAAATATATTCAACTAATACAATAGTTAAAGCTAATATAAATATTTCTATGTAGAAATTTTTTGGGCATTCTCATAATACAGTTTATATTTGAGACATCGTTATTTTTTCAACGTATCAGTTAATCCGATTTCGGTTAACCAAAAAAACTGTTGCGTTTGGAAAAAAAATTATAAGACCATTTGGTTGTATAACATTGAAGTTCGATTACCAGTGTAGAGCCATATAGAGCGATCTCGGGCCTTGGACTTAGGGCCTCTCTATACTTTCTGATGGGACATTTTCGATTATCATATTTTTCCTCTCACAAGTAAGTGGTTCTCAGTGGTTTGCGTTAGATTCTAACAAACGAGAGAGGCCAGCGGGGACAATTTGCCCGGATTTCATATTCACGTGAATCTCAAAAACATATGACACAAATGATTCATTCCACAGCATTTCTTGTGTTCTCTTCTCTTAATATGAAAAAACACTTCCTTATTTTTGTCAAATTTGGTTATTTAAAAATTATAATAACAGTTTTATGACGCTGGTTTGTTTTTAACATATTGTGGGGCTTAAATTAACTAAGTATCTTGGCCCTCTTTTGACCTCCGAGAGATTTTTGTCTACCTGTGATACATTGAGAAATGCCATTAATATTTGATATAAAATTTTTCAACAGTTCCTCCAATGTCCATTTCGTGTAAGTCAAAAAATTTCACAAGATAATTAAATAAATAAAAATATAAAAGTATTTTCTATGTTTATTATATTATTTTAATTCATTAATTATTTTTCTCTCATAGTGTACTTTCAATCTATGTATTCTCGTCATTAAAATCAATTACTACTGTGATAAATTCACGCATCTTAATCTTCAACTATCAAGTATTTACTCGAAAAAAAAAAATCTTTACTGTTTTAATACTCATAATTTATTTCGTACGCACAATACCTAAAATATGGTTTATTTATTCTTGTTAATATAATTCCAAATTAGATCGCAGTACGAAAATTATGATTACAGTATATATAGCATAAATATATATATTTTCTTTGTTAAATTTTTATTATTTTGGTATCAAATTTTTGTTACTTAAATAAAATCAAAATAAAATTAACATAAAAGTTTTATTTTTCTAACCAAATTTTTGAATAAATTAATTTAATTATTAAACAACAGATGGCAGCACACTATGATTCCTAGCTAGATATTCGACAGTAATATTTATCCATGAAATACTTATAAAAATTTAATAATCAAATGTAAATATATTTTTAAAATTAGTTATTAATTTTTAAAATGTCTTGTTTATTGTATGAATTGCTAATTATTTAGCGCTTATTTTCGTTATTATAATTAATTTCTACTTCAAATCCTCGCACTTCAGTGGTATGTTCAAGATTTTGAAAATATGGATGCTGTTCAAGTGAGACCAAGGCTTGTGCTCTCTATCATTTTTAGGAAAATGTTACCTTAAAATTACTTTAGTCACCTAATCTTACCTAATCGAAGTCATGCGATATGCGTTTTTATGTTTATTTTAATTTTAAAGTAACAAAACTGATTGCTTTGTTATCAAGAAGGTGTTGCAGCACCATAAGCACCCCCCTTATAAAGTTTCCACGGATATTCCACTGCCGCACTTACAAACTAGTAATAATTATTAATTAATTAGTTGACTTTTGATGCAAGATAAGCAAGATCTTATTGACTAAACTGCGTCAGGCGTCGGTAAAAAACGAAGTTAATATAAAGAGAAGACATGATAAACTGAACTGATTAAACTGCACAGTTATATGAGACATGCATAGCTGATTTAGGAAAGAAACTAGTAATTTTAAAGCTGATAGAGAGTTCCGATAGTTTCCATAGATGTAAAAAATCTTTAAAGGAATACTGTAAATTATTAATAGATTTCCAAACCTATAGAAAGCTAAAAAGTAATTATTATTAAAAATTGCACAATCTTTTTCAAGGAAAATAAAATTATTTAATTGTAAAATTTTCGAGATAAAGGTCCAATCGTCAGCTTTTTACAATTAAAAGTTCTGAATTTGGAAGATTTACTTCATGAAGATTAAACATTTTAATTTAATTCAAATATTTCAAATATAGAGTCACTATTTCTTTGTTTTTAAGATTTATTATTATATATTAATAGCTCATAATCTGCAAGTAATAATTAAAAGTAATTCAATATATAGTATTTTATGTAGAGTAATTTTGTTCGTATAAAATCTTATTAAATAATATTTTCAACCATTTATATTGTAAACATTTATGTGGAGTAGATTTTGTTAATAAAGACTTGTGTGAAGCTTTTATGAAAAAATATAAAGCAGAGTAAGAACAGGATTAAGTTCAAGTGACTATTGTAACGTAGCAGGAAGGGAAGTTGATTAATTTTATCAAGGAAGTGCTCTTACCTGTCTGACATATCCATTCCAGTTAACCTAATAATAACTGCAAATAATGTCAATGTAATCGCGCTTTTTTAGTAATATTCCCTTCTAGACATGCTTTCATTCATTGGAAAATTTACAATATAACAGAATCTCGTTCCGGCAATAATTTAGTTATTTAATTTTATAAGAAATTATTTGATAGGAACTAAGGAAAATAAATTTAGTTCTTATGACATCGTATAAAGATACTATAATATAATTAGTGTTTAATAATAATTATTTTTGACTCACTTCTATCTTCTATACTGTAACACGTTTTATGGAGAGCACCACTGTAAAATTCAAGGCCTATAATGGCAAAAATAACAATCGCAAACAGCACCAACAAGCCTATTTGAAGTAAAGGAGCCATTGCCTTTATTATTGATTTGAGAACTACTTGTAGACCTGTTGAAAAAGAATAAGAAAAAAAAGCAGTTTACGATCGTACACCGTATAAAATATTTATTTCTCACGAGCTCAATATGATATACTTAAGGTGTCTCTTTACAGTTTCATCACATACATATATATACAATATATAACTTCTCATAAAGAAAAACTTACTTGGTATCCCAGACACCAATTTTAACGGTCTAAGTACCCTGATGGCTCTCAAGGTTCTCAAATCTACATCTAAATCTTGTGGTGCAAATAAGGTAATAAACCTGCAAAGACGTTAAAGTGGATCTATTCTACACTCTACAAACAGCAAGCAAGTCTAATATGAATATCTAAAGGGAATCTAAACAGTAAAGTTCAGATACAATTTCTAGCAACATGCATATCTAATTCTATATATATATATTTTAGGCTTGTAGAATAGCCTATAAGTATATTAAAAACTAAGAATATGTAAACATTTTCATATATTTTTGCTGGTACGTGTGTCGCCAAAGTTGCCAAAGTAACTTAAATTAAAACATTTTCAAACAAATTTATAAATTGTAAGAAAGATCGGCTTCTACAATGTTTCCAATAAAGATCAAGAAAATCATAATATGCAAATTTGTCATAATATTAAAATAAATTTTATAATGTTTGTGAAAATTTAATAATTTATTTCATAATAATAATATTTCACGAATAATATTTACTATAATGCAGTGTTTTTCAACCTGTAGGTCGCGACCCCCGTGTATGGCTTTGCGACCCACANAACAACTTCAGGGCGCTAATCTACATATACAGTATATATATACAGTAGGCTATATATATTCCTATACATCTCTAACATTATATAACTTATTACACTACATCTATTTAGATACAGACTAGAATTGTTTACAGTTTTATTTATTGTTATTTAAGTTATAAATTACGTTTAAAAATTTGTTGTTAAATACATTATATTTTATTAAATAAAAGTGCTACAATGCATTAGTTCAACTTTTACCTTTTCTGTTTTATTATTTGTTATATAACTTACTACAGTAGAAGATAATATTGTTTATTATTTGCTGTTCTTACTAGCAGATAGTACTGTTTTTCATTTGTTCTCACTAGTAGATAGTACTAGTTATTATTTATTATTCTTACTAGAAGATATATTTATTCTAAAATAATTTAAAATATACAGATTAGATATAGAGTTGTAAAAATTTTAATGTGAATGGGTTAATTTATGTATTAAGTGATGATGATTCTGATAATTAATTAAAGTTTTAATATCACTACATAATTTCTTTTGTACTGTAGTTATATAATGTAATAATGAATAAGTTTTAATTGCATTGATAGTTTTATTATTTAACATTATGAATAATTTAAATGTCAAGCAATGGTTCAGAAAATGTAATTCATGTTTCCAAATTAGTTTCCAATGGGATTTGACGCATCTTCTCTGGGGATACGATCGTAGAAGAGACACGAAGTTTCGATACAGAGAAAATTTATTCCTATATTGAATTCAATAAAATCATTCAAAATTGATTGTATGATTTTTATTATTAATTTTAATTATTATTATTATTTTTTAATTATTAATTTTATGTAATTTTTAAGCATATTTTGAAAAGTTTAATATTATTTGTTGCATCGGTTTGATGTGTAACATAAATTGCATTTAGTTTAATGATGATGTTTGTGTTAAAATTAATATTTTATTTATATTTTTTGACGTAACAAATTAAACTAAAAACTCCAAATTCGAAATAAATCGTACAGAAAATTAAATTTAGTTCAATAAAAAGAACAGCACTGCGAAAATTTTAAGACAATCAAAACAGTTTACGGATTTTGTCGATGATTTTAATTTTAACCATATTTTTCTTAAGAATTGCATATAAAATACCTTAATTAAACCGTTTAAATAAATTTTATAACGAAAATTCTTTTGGCAGCTTCGAATTTTCTTATAAATTTGAAAATAAATTACTGAAAATCATTAAAAAACGGAAACATTTTATNTTTGATATATAATACTATTAAAATGACAAATAATTGCTGTAAGTAGCAAAAAATATTTGTTTTATCACTTCAATAATAATTACAAGAGTTATTTAAATCCTGCTTAAATTAATTGGGTGTAAAATTGCCATTAACCTTTCCTTTTTTCTGTTCATGACCTGTTCATAAATGGTAAATACTTTAATGAAGTTGTATTGATTTTTTAGAATTGTCTAATTTGCTTTTAATTATTACTGTTATTTATTTTTGAAAATGAATCTTTAGGCATCAAATGTTTATAATAATGAATAATATGACTAAAATTTAAATAACAGAATTAATTAACCAGATGTTAATTCTGTTAACAAGCTAGAATTACTATGAATTAAACTCTGGAGCCCTTTAAATGATTTGCTATCAATTCTTTTTAAAGAAATATCTCTCACTTATCAAAATTAAGCCAATTTTTTTAGTTTTTTTGGATCATTTTGAATTATTTTTATTGACAGATGTCCTTACAGAAACATTATATAAATTAAAATACTAAAATAATTCAATATTATCACTTCACTGTACATCATATTACTTATTTTAAGAAGCAAATATATCATAATAAAATCTGTAAAGTTTATATATTTGTTGGAACAGAGAGAAAAAGAGAAATTAAAATACTAAAATAAGCCATTAGTGGGTGGCACAGTTACATCATATTACTTCTTGCATGATGCTCATCTATAGTATATAGGGCAGCATATTCTTCGCCCCTTACTACAACTACATAAAAACTACAAGTCTACAACAACTTCAGGGCGCTAATCTACATATACAGTATATATATACAGTAGGCTATATATATTCCTATACATCTCTAACATATTGATTAGCTATTCACAATACAGGACCATAGAATTTTTTCGGGTGTGTCTGTGGGGTAGTTTTTTTTCATCCTAACTTACTTGGCGTGCGTGAGACAAGTTTGAGTGGACGTAAAACTCTGAAGGATCGGAGCATGCGCAAATCTAAATTTTCGCTCCCTTCAGCTGTAAGATTAATGATCCTGAAAAACAACAGGTTATTCGTATTGAGTTTTTTTACGATTAGCAACGCTTCGCAGCGGAATTTTAAACAATTTTTCTGCACATTTTCTCGAAATTTAAATGAAAAAAACTAATAAAAACCATAAATCACGTCAAAAATGTTAACAGAATTATTTAAATATATTCGAAGGTGTTTTTCATATTATAAATTAACAAAATCAAATCATAATTCATAACCCCCAATATAAATTTTTACCATATAATGCTGCCGTTGTGAACTGATTAGAATTTTTTTTTTAAAAGTACAAAAGAAATGAGATAAAACACATATACTCACCCTGTAACTACAACAATAAAGTCCATCAAATTCCAAATATTTCGTAGATAAGATCCTTTATGAAGTAAAAATCCTAATGCTAGAATTTTTAATAATGCTTCTACGCAAAAAATACCTAAAAAGTACGGTTCAGTCTTCTCCTAATTTATCAAAAAATATATATTATTTTAGAAATATTTTTATTTATCAAATAAAAGCAAAGTTTTAAAAGTTTTATTAAGTTGTCAAACTTACAAGTTTTTGTGCTAGAGGCGTCCTATCCCCTCTGGGTAGGTGCTCTTCTAAAGCCAGCACAATACAATTGGCTATTATAGTGAGTAGGACAGCATATTCAAATGGAGTAATAGAATTAAGGAGTCATTTCGTTTATTTAAACATTAATAATATAATTAATTACTAGAAAATTCTATTATACAAGCAAATATAATCGACTGATTGTTATAATAATTTTTAATTTCATTTTAAGAATTGATGTTTAATGGTCCATTACGCCATTAGATATCAATTCAGCCCAGCGCCTGTGGATGCCGATCGGTCTAGTCTGAAAGAAAATGTGGAGGAGTTGACATCAAGAAGAGCATCCGGTCGTAAAATGAAGCTAAATCTAACTACTCACACGCCCATCCATCTACACTAACAATATAGTAAACCTTCGATTTAACCGACCCCGATTTAACGATCAAAAATTTGTCCTATAGGAAAAATGTAAAACCTTAATATTCACGAATAGAGCGTGCTAAAAGGTTGGAACAATGAATCAACGAGTATAAACTACTCAATATACAGTACATAATAATATTACTTTATTCATACATCATAACATTTTAACACATATTGCACATTTTAAGTAAGTTATTAAGATGTTTTTAAAACACGTTCAATTTAAAAAACTTTCGGAAATAGCGGACACATCTTTCCTCCAATTGCTCCATTAAAACGAAAGTTTACTATGCGCCCTGTTTTGGAGCATGAAAAAGAAGAAAATATCTAATGAAATAGAATATAAAAATTAAGAGTATAAATCAAAACATTTAATATATATAACAGATTGATACAATTTAATTAAAATAAAATTATTTTATGCGATTTGGAAAAATTCATTTAAAAGAGTTTAATTAAAATAATGTAATTTTATAAATTCGCGTAATATGTTTGTTTATAGAAGTACAGAACAAGTTATTTTCCAAAAGCAAGGTATTCCAATAAATCTTAGTATAGATGACCCTCGATATAACGAACAAATAGGAGAAAGCGACGGTTCGATAATACTGATTGTCCATTGTATCCAAAGATGTCACAGTCAATTACAAAACGAACTTTGTATGAGATATGATAGGAGACGCAAATACTTTATATTGTATTAAATGCGAAGGAAACGAGCAATACACCTTCAAATTAAAGATGTCAAATAACTGTCGACACACTGTCTAGTGGACATTCCGCTCACTAACAATTATATTCTGATATTCTCAAATAATGTATCATCGCTTCGACAGACGCTTTGGAGCAAACGAGTTTGGTACATTGTTTCTGAAATGAAGGTCAATAGTGTTTAAATATATGAATATCTTTTAAAATAAGGTTTAAATAAAAATTGTTTTTAAAATTACAGTAACAATAGTAATTTGACACCAGAATCCGAAAAACAAAAAGGTATATTTTACAATTTAAAAATCAACAATAATTTAGAAATATCTCCCAGGAATAATTAAATTCCAACGAGTAATTATTTATTGTGACATCATCACAATGCCGAGCTGCAATTTTTAATCATATTTTTAATTTATTTCATTTAAAATATATGCTCTCCACCTCAAATTAGTAGTGGCTTGCCCCTGTACATCATACTTTTCCTGTTAGCAATGGAGTCGTGCTGGTCATCTGGCTAGCTCCTTTCAGGGGATATTTTGAATTGAAATAACGTGACTTCCAATTTGCATCGGAAGTTCACGTACAGTTAACCGAGGCCTCCCGTCACTAAGCATTCCATATCTGGTCTTTAATTTCATTTACCTAATACAATTCTCGAGATTAAGGAAAAACAGAGAATTTATAAGACTACAATTTTTTTTCGAATTGCAGCCCATTAAAAGGTAACTTTACGTATAACAGAATTAAAAGAACAATCTAAAATTTTAAATTAAATTAATCAAATTTTTAAAGAAGAAGAAAAATAATTTTTCAAAACTTTATTTGCGATGAAAAGAAGGTAATTAACAAATTTAATGATAATTATATTCTTTTAAAAGTTTTAAAGTCACTTTTAAATCTTAAAAGTTTCATCGCTGTCTGAAAAATTAAAATGTTCATATTTTACTTGGAATAAAACATATAAAAGTTACTTGGAATTTTATTATAATAAAGATTCATGACCAAGTAAATTGATTTATGTCATACGTGATTAATACAGCGTCTGAAAAAATTGTAATAAAGACTTAAAGCGACAGTGATGCATTACAAAATGGATTAAAGGAGTGTTTTATATAAAGAAATGTCTAAGAGCGAAGGATATAAATAAGTAAATAACATAAATTTAAATTAATTATTGTTATTTATAACAAAATCTGCTGGAAATTAATATAGAGAAAGACATTCATTATTTTAGTTAGTTCTAAATAATTTAGTAATGGACAAGAATAATAGATAAGAGAGAAAAGATTTATATATATATAATATATATATTGTTGACAGTAAGAAAATTTATACGTAAATGATTTGGTTCATTACATTAATATGAATAATTGCATTTGTTACAATCTATTGGATTCGTTCTAGAATAGCGCGTTGATTTTTCTAACTTCTAGGTGAATTGGCGACGTGAGTCATCAATTCATTATTTAAAAAAGTCAAAAACAGATCCACTCAAAAGAAGTGAAGTCTCTATGACAATCCAAAATAATTCGTGAGAAATGTAATCCGGACAAGATACAATCTCATAAGGGTAAATTCTTTATTAATTATCATACCAACTTGATTGCTGCACAAGATATAATTTATAATATCTAAACTATAAAAATTGTAAAATTTTCAATAATTAAATTTGTAAGAAACAAAAATCATATTTTGTAATTATTCAAATTAATATATTTTTATTAACATTTTTGTATATTTTCAGTTTTTTGTAATCAGAGTCAGAGACGGATCTACATAGGGACTAATAGGGCTTAAGCACTAGGCCCCAAGTGTCAAGGACCCACAAAATTGAATTATTATCATAAATTTTTAATACTTTTCCATTATCAACGAGCACTTATCGTATAGTAAAAAATTAATATTAATAATATAATAATAATGATAATTTATAGTATTATTTGTTTTATTGTAATCAATGTAACGTAATCGGTCAGGTTACCGAATTGCAATTTTAAATCCACTGTCTCGATTTCGAATGCTATAAGGAGACTAATAATAATGGTCAGCCTACCTTATAAGGCACTGACAATGCCCCTCTTTGCAAGGAGAAAAAAGAAAAAGAAAAAGCTACAGAAAAGGTAAAATTATTTAGTGTAAGGGGCATCCCTGGGTCGAGTTCTGAGGCATTTCCGTTCATGGCTAAAGAATCCAATCCGGGCTCTGCAGATGCGACTGCATTTCTGATATGTTGCCGTCATGCTGAATAAATCCCTTCGTGTTTTCATGGAAGAATTCAATTATTATTAAAAGCATTGGAGGATATCCAATCCTGCTAAGAGACTACATGCAAAAATGAATTTTAAACCCCAATTTAAATATTCTTAATCTTACAAAAAATGAGACCCCATTGGACTTCAATAAGCCCTAGGCCCCGAAAAACTTAGATCCGCCCATGATCTAATATCGATATTAAGAAAGATCTGGAAAGTTATTTAAAAAATCTATTTACAATTTTCTATAAAAATATATGACTTTGCATCGTAAATATTGTTGGAAGTGGAAATAATATACTGATATTTTAAAAGAGGAGGCTTGATTATTCGGAATATTTTTATTATCATCGATAGGAACTTAACGATTTAAAACCAAATTTATAAACAATTTCACACTAGAAAAACAGTTTTGATCAAATTTAATATTATACAGGCTGATAAATTTCATTTAAAATATAAAAATATAGTAAAAGTAAACCATTTTTTTAAAATGCGAATTTGTTTGAGTATGAAATGGAAAGATATTTCCATTTTAAATTTTTACTTATAATATTCAAATATTTATTTTAAAAACGTCCAAACTTATTCTTTTTAATCTTTAAATTTATTTACTTCTAACTTATGGTGATTGTCTGAATAAAAATCTCTCGATACCAGCTATACGGCATGCTACAATTAAGCCCTATACAGTGGAATAAGACCGAAAGCACCACAGGAAGAAACTAGTAGCGGCAACTGCGCTTCCTGAGATTTGCTTTCTTCTTTGCTTTTTTCAGATAAAAATTTTGTAAAGCAATGGTATTTTTATAAGAATAAATGTATTTTAATAATCGTTATAATGAAATAAACGTAGTCCTCACGCAAATAGATATTGTAATTTCGAATGCACTGTAATTTCAATAATACGAAAATCTATTCTAGATCGTTGTGATAAGCATAAATTAATAATAATTAAATTTACATTTTTTTGTGGCCTTATACAACGGTTATATTATAGATCAACGGTTTTCAATCTTTTTCGGGTAATAACACACCAATAAGGTTTGAAAGGTACTCTTGTAGCTGTAAACGGAAAGTGATACTGAAGATCTTTATTCTTTATATTAAAATTAAATATAGTCTACAAATAATATTAAAAAGTAAAGAAACGATTAGCATTTTAAAATTCTTTTCTGAAATTCTATGGCAGCGGTACAAGTTTGCGGTTCATCAATTAAGAGCCACTAGTATACATTTACAAGCTATGATATACAAGGAATTCGTTATTTAATAGAAAAATCTTGGAGAGTCATGTTTTGACCGATCGCCATATTTTCCCTCTGTTATATATAATAGCCGAGAAAGTAAAATTAAAATTATCTTATTCACGTAACATCAAATTGCCATATCAATATGGCGTTGATATTTTAAAATAAATACTTAAATATTTTTGAACCATACTCTGACTACATCTGTTTTGTTTCAATTAAAATATTAAAATAATTATCGATTTTAATTAATAACTACATTTCAAGGAATTTTTAATTATTCAGTAAAATATAACTGTATAAAAGAAACCTATTTATAAATTCAATGCGTAATTATTATAAAAATTAAAAGCAAATAATGTAAATAATTTTCAACAAATAATAATAAATATTAAAATATTCATCACACTCTTTAAATTAAAAATAAAAATTATTAAAAAAAATTAAATTGGCTTTATAGATAAGAA